CACACTTGGATGTGGATATCTGTCGCCTACATTTCAGACGGGCAGTACGGCCAAAAGAAAATTACGTAAATATAGCTTGCTGATGGAGAGAGTGGTGGGGAACTGAGGGAAGGTGGCAGGGAAGACAGTCGAGGGACGATGGAAGGAGAGGGAGGCTGAGCGTGCGACAATAGAGACAACGGGAAGGGAGGGCGGGGATAAAGTAGGAGTTTTTCACCCTACAGGCTACTGCGCTCTCCTAACTATAAACACAGGTCTACTGATAAGAATTTATTACAGAAATCTCCTGAGATACTGATATGATGCTGAGATACCCCCTGACCATACTAAATGCATTTTCATCACAAAATAAAACTCCTCTTGTGAGATATTGCGCTTGCGCTAAAACAGTAACGTATTCAGATTATACTGACTTGTAGGCCTATATGCAGCGGGGACCTTATAAGATCTGCTTCCTATTTCGAAATTGAGGTCTACTGATGGAATTTTGTTATATCAATCTCTACTAGGATAACCCTTCTTCATTTTAAATTAAAACTGTTTGCAAAATATTATAATCTTCTCGCACAGTTTCAGGCGTAGAGTACGACCTAAATAATAGGTACGATATGTATATATAATATATATACGAATGTACATATCTACCACAGATGTCAATAGCTACTGGAGAGCTAGCGAGCGCGCGCGTACAGTACTAGCCTTACATATTACAAGTCTACGTTAAATCCATGTGCATGCTTGTAGGATCAGATATGGAGTGACAAGATTCTGGAACTCGAGACTATCCAATCCTTTCAATATCCCCATACCTAGGGCACCTAGCAGCAGTATACGGTCGCGGTTTCAGTTTAGGCTATCAATCGGAACTCATTTTTTATACTTTCTATTTTTTTCATTTAGTGGAGACAAGCACAAAATAATAATATTATAGAAGGGGCTTATAATTATGCGGAAGTGCATGTTCAAAAATCTGGGGGAACATTTTATATTGTGTCTCCACCCTTCGAAAAGTGGGGGGGGGCGTGTCCCCCAAGTCCCCAAGGCATTTGCGCCCATGGAGTCAGGCAAGTGAACACCTAGTGTCCATTATAGACAGGTGTCAATTCTATAGCGGGGATTTCCCTGTAAAATTCAACTCGGCGAAAACGATCAAATAAAGTATCGTATGTCCGTTCTATGGAGGTGACTACTAACACATCTTTGACTGTTATGTGCCATCGCGTCTCTGCGAAACGAAGTCCCGCAGTCGATACATGAGAAAGAACTCGCAACGAGAGTACGCCCGTGTCTTCACATACGTAGCATTGATCTACTGCCTCCTTTTGTTGGTGCGGTAGCATCCTTAGCAACGAGCCCTGTCGACCGCTGATAGTTTGCTCCCGTAGATCGACCGACTTGGCACCGACGACGCATTACCCCCCGTGTCTATAGCTGCTGTCGTTAGGTTAAGAAAAAGTTTGGCGGCGTGTGCGAGTATTTGTATTGTGAAAGCACGTACGATCGGCTGCATGTTTCCCCATGTGTAGGTGCTCTCGGTGGGGTGGGGGAAACAGCTTGCGGCGTGTGCGAGTATTGGTAAAGAAATCACTTTCGATCGGCTGCATTATACCACAGGAATGGTGTAGGTGCTGTCGGTGGGGTGGAGGAAACGTTTGCGGTGTGTGCGAGTATTGCCGAAAAGCTCGCACAATTGGATAGCTAATGTGACCCGCCTAGCTTCGTCTGTACTCTTGCCAGCACTACAGAGCGTGGTCAGCATCAAGGAGCACAAATGAGTTCTTTGGTCAGCACGGGCGGTGAACAGTGAATCGTGCAGATAATCTAAGGCGGAATCTGAGCATCGCTTATTTAGCACGGACACCGGCGGAGGCGGACACATCTGTGACGCATGATGAGGACGCGCTGGGAGCATGTAACACCGCCGTCACTCACGCAACGTCGCCGTAGCTGACGCAACACTACCCGCGCCGACAACGTCATTGTAACCGACACAGCGACGCTCTCGCCGACGCAACGTCGTCGTAGTCGACGCAAGAACCCCGTAGCCGATGAAATAACCTCGTAGCCGACGAAAGAACCCCGTATCCGACGAAAGAACCCCGTATCCGACAAAAGAACCCCGTAGCCGACGAAATAATCTCGTAGCCGAGGAAAAACCCCGTAGCCGACGAAATAACCCCGAATTGACGCGGAGTGCTTTGATATACATCAGCGCTACGTCGTCGCCTCGTCGGTGACCCTCTCCGACGACAAACATTCGTCCGTCGGTGTCTCCAGCGGTGCGTCTGTAGGTGTCATCTGTCGCGGGTGTGTCTTACACGCACGAAGCGTCTGTCGTTACTTCCGTACTCGCACCAGCAGCCATGAGTGTAAGATGGCTGCTGGCTGTAGTCGTGTTGGTACTCACTACGGTCGCATTGCACGCAGCAGAAATTGAACGTAAGTTTGAGATTAGCCAAATTTCCATCCTATCGCAACATTTGCAATGTAGGTGTAAATTATTCGCTAGGCCATATTAAAAGGTACGGATAGACCTTCCTCTCTCACACTCTCCCTTTCTCACAGACACACACAGAGACACACGCAGACACACGCGCGCGCGTGGGCGCGCAAACACATACGCACGCCCACACGCACATGTACAGTTTCTTGTACGTTTAGTATACGTGTTCTATGTTTTAAAACTGGTGTGTTGCAGCCACCGTACCTCCCGAGTGCCTCGTGGACAAAGAGCTGGAAGCCGACGCGCCTGGCAACCTCGTAAAATGTGAGGATGAACCGTACACGGAGTGCTGTGACCGTGACGGCGAGCCGGGATGCTGCGACCCGTCTGGGGATAAACAGTAAGACCATCGCTGAAAATTTCTCCTTCAATTGAGCTAAATTCAATTCCGCCTGCTCGATGTAATCAGGCCCTCCTTGGATATTGTTGCTAGTTTAGCCAGGGTAGACAAGTTTGTAGAGAATGAGAGTTGAGCGATTGAGTGCTTCTTGCACGGGCGCGCCAAATTTTCGACTTTGTGACACTTCGTCACTAAGCAGCGTTTTGGAACTCCCTATCACAACGCCGATTAGCTGAAGCTACCTGTCAATCAGTCCACGCGGATATGTTGAGGAAGACCGGAGATTTTTTCAACGTTTCTGTTTATGCAGCTCAGCATTGGAATAGAATCAAATTGATTTATCATCGATTCAAATAATTTTATTCTATTACAATGTCTGCTGACCTGATGAAGAGATGTAATCTCGAAAGCTTGTCAATTAAATTTTAAACACCCTTGTTCTGTACCTTGACTTTGTTTATATATATATATATATATCTTTCTGCGTCCTGCAGAGACGGCGTACTGGTAAAATTCGGCATAATCTGCTCGTGCGCAACGGTGGGGCTGGCTCTCTTCTGCTTCGTCTTCATGTGGTGTCGACCCGACTCGTTTCCGTGTTTGGCGACGCTGAAGCGGAGGTACTGCTGGTGAGTAAGCCCCCAGAGAAGATCGAGAGAGGTCTTGTCTCTCTGCCATATATATATTTGATCTTGGCGTTCACGGTATGACGCCGACAGAGGTCGCTTGTATGTTTTTCTCGCATAAGGCATGGATCTGTATCACCTAGCTGTATATACTAACTGGTAACTATATATATAACTAATAACTGTTATCATATACAGCTTAGTGGAATGTGTATATGTACTACAACAGCTATTGTTATATATAGCTTGTAAATGGGGTACGGGGAGCAGACCTCGCAAAATCACGAAAGCGGGGGGGGGGGGGTCTGAGAGAAGTAGCGGGATTTTGTTCAGATGCTTTTGGGTATGCGTCAAATAGCGCTACGGGGAGTGTTATTAAATCGAAGCAGATTTTAAGTAATTTCGATAAACCGGGATGCTGTCCAAATTAGAAGTGAAATGATGATGCGAGTTCTCTCGAGTTGAATGCACTATACGTAACACATATATACCATTAAATTAGCGTATTATAATCTTATTTACAGCTGTTGCGACGAAAATCGAAAAAACAAGGTAGGCAACTACTACATACCAAAGGAGTTAAGAAACAGCAACGGGAATCACGGTGATAACCCCGATGGAACCACGGGCTACATATAGCTGGTACACGCAACCGAAGCAACACCACGCTGTACCCAGCGCGATAATTTCAATAATTGCGGTATTTTGCATCGTGGTGGGGGTATATCAATACATGGTTCATGCAGGCTGTTGTGATGAGAGGATATAACGTTGAGAAGGACGCTCGCGCACTGGTCAGTCATTAAACACGTTAATACTTTGCGATTGTGTTATCTACACACCGTGCGATTATGTTGTTGTGGAGTATTGATTTTCCAAACTAGAAGAAAGTCCTAAGAAGGAAAGTCGATTATAAAACATTATTAAAAGGAAGACATACCACGGAAGAATAATATTGTTTACTATTTAATATCATTATACTACTTCAGGCATCGTTATGCAAATGTTGCTTGAAGTAGTATAATCACAATAAATGGTAAATAGATTATTATTCCGTGGTATATGTTATTTTCAATAATGTGTTAATAATCTACTTTTCTTCTTAGGACTTTCGTCTAGCTTGAAAATCAATACTCTACAACAACGACCGACAAGCGTGACGATGCATAAAAATATGCAGATTTCCAAAATATATGATTTGAGCAACTTACTTTCTGCTTTCTCATTCGCGAATAGGCGATGGATCGAATAATAATTAGTCACTTAATTATATCTACGCAATTGTACTTTATTTAAATATTATTAATATATATAATAAAAATTATATTATATATTATATAATTATATATGTAATATATTCTCTTCTCTCTCTCTCGCAATCTGCTTCCTCTCTCTCCTCGTCTCTCTCTCTATATATACTAGTAGTATACTATCATAATCTAATATACTCACCCGCCGTAAGCGTACAATGAAGTATCGTACCGTTCTCTATCGAGAGCGATATGTACAACAAATTTTAAGAAACCCTGTCTAGCATTTTTCATTCGTTTTTATTTCATCATGCAGCAATGGTATTTATCGCGTAACACACGTACTACATTAAAACATAATTATACAGCCTATACAACATATCAGAAGTGATTAAACGCAAATTTGGTTTATAGTTATTTCTGAACATATCTATGTGAATATATCTATCGTTGATATATATATATATATATATATGATGTATTTATCTACAAGCGTGCAGATGTGTCCATGCTAAAACTAATGGTGTAAGGTCGCAATAATCGGTGCACTAACACCGGCAGTAATAGGCGCACTGAGTGGATCGATCAAACAGTAACAATAGGTCTATCCATGTATTATGCATGCACGAGCGCCCGGAACCGTCACTGACAGTAGCTGTTAGCAAACCCGGTACAACCAAGTCTACCGTTAAACATCACAGAGCGGAAACAGGCATTTCTATGTACTCACAATAGCCTTATAAATTACACCCTGTCAAACGAAACCCTGCAAAACAAAACTCTACAAAATGAATATAACGCAAGCACACATATAATTACAACTATTATTACAGCTATATATATAAATGCTAATCTAATATCAGATATAGAAGCGGACAGATAACATAAATTGTATTTAGCTAGGAAAGATTCGTGAATATATTACGCTGGGGGTTCCCTAGGCTAAACTAGCGATGTTTGTGAAAGCCGTCTTTTCCTGACCAATAGTAGCGCAGCCGGGTTTGCTGCGAAGTTATTACAATCACTTGTGATACCTGCCTAAATATTTTATGAGCCGTCGAATGAGTATTATTCTAGTTAATTGGTTCTACGAAAACATCTCTATCGTGAGTTCGTCGACACTAGGCCTGCCTTTGTTAACTATTTATTTCGTAAACGTCTACGTACATCAACGTACTTTCAACGAGATATATTTCGATTTTTTATCATTTGTTACCGAGAGACGGCGAGTTCATTCGGTTTAATTAAATATGCGCATGCAACCCGTTAATTATTATAACAAGCTCATTGAGACCACGTACAGTCTTCACGTCACAGATTGCTTAAGCGCGTAGTACTAGCCGAGTACTGTGGGATACCGGTGAACACGTAAGGCCAATGATGGGTGTCAGCGGCACCAGCTTGTCTCCCTCTGGCGGCAGAACATCGAAATTTTGCAATATAGCAGTGAAGAACAAAAACAATTCCATCTTAGCGAGCATTTCACCGAGACAAACTCGCCATCCTGCAAAGGATAAAACGAATACATATAAGAAATCAGCAGACAAATGCCTTGTAAATCTTGGAGGGATTTTTATATAATATATAAGTATGAATATAAAGATAGATGCGAACGTCTTGCCGACAGAGAACGGAATAAAGTGCTTTGCCAATTACAGCTGACTTTAACCAGCATGTTTTACATTACGAGAAATTAAGAAAGCAAATAAATGCCTATTGCTGTAGCCATACTTACCGATCGAGAACGGAATGAGGCGCTCAGTATTGGTTAGTTTTCCATTTTCGTCCAGGAATCGTTCTGGTTTCATTACATCCGGATCCGGGAACCGTTTCGGATCCATGTGCACGGCATAGAGGTTTGGAAGAACCATGGTGCCATTAGGAATCTCGTATCCTGCTAATGTCCCCTTCTTTTGAGTAGCATGCGGAATCGCCAAAGGGACCACGTTAGCTGGAAATTAAAATCCTATTAGAATATGACCATGGTCCATGTCTCCGTCATCGAAATTCTCTACCTCGATAACCTAAAATACACGGCTGCTATTCTTACTCTTTTTTATTGGCCGCTTTTCTACATAACTATATAATTCACATTAGGCATATGCTCTTTGATATATTCATCTAGTTTATTTCTCTCTACCCACTCTCACAGTGGCACTTACCCAATACCCTCTGATAGCGTTTCTCTGTAGAAATCTTTTGTTTGTATACATGCAATGACTTACACCTAGCAATTCTATTAATGCAGAGCCCATAACCAAGTTTAAACATTCCGTCTAGCTGGCAATGTCGCTGAGTTGCGTACATAGTCGCTGCAGCTCCAAGATGGTGGCCTCAGTGTAGGGCATGTTGGGTTTGTCCTTGATGGAGGGCAGTCGACCTCTGCCTATCACCGCGTCGATTTCCTCCTGCACTTTCCTGGCGACGTGAGGGTAGTGCGTCATGTAGAGCAGGCCCCATCGCAGCGTCGTCGCTGTCGTCTCCGTGCCAGCGGCAAACAGGTTAATGATGATGTAGGGAGCCTCGTCGACTGAAAGCAGCGGGCAGATTTAATAGCTTCCGTTCTCGCTTTCACTTTTTGCGTTGTATTCACGTATAGCTTGCTGTTATGTGCACGTATATGCTATTAGCACGTTAGTTTATGTGTAGTTCATGTGTTTGTTATTATGTAGTTAGTTTAAGTTAGTTTATGGCTCTCCGCTCATAGCGGTGAGAGATGTATTAGTATATGGGGACAGATTATTATTATTATTATACCGTTATCTTCTACTTATTAGGTATTTTTCAGACGTTGGGGGCTACAATCCATATACTTCTCACGCACACAGCGTACACGATGTGTATAAATACGTAAGAACATCCCGAGACATACGTAGATATACGCGTAACACGTCACATGAATTCCGCTTACTCGTGAAGGTCGTGTTCTTATTGTCAGCCATGTCGTCGATCTGCTTCATGTACAGATCAACGAAATCGCGTATGTTGTCGCGATCGAACGACTTCTCGTGCTCGGCGACACGCTGCTTCGCCCATGAGATGAGCTTGTCAAACCGCGTCCGAAATCCGAGGTACTGTTCGCGTCCGGCTCCGGGGAAAAATCGGATCCACGGCAGGTAATTGAGGATCTCCGTGTTTGCGGCCTGCCTGATATTGGCATTGAGAAGCTCCAGGAGCTCCTTGAAATCGGCGTGGTCGTATTCGAATCGCGAACCGAATACAATGTTGCAGATGACGTTCGAAACGGCATTGCCGAATAGATGGTGATAGTTGAACGCCCGGCCGGCCTGGTTCTTGATTTCGTGAAGGAATACTTCCACCTCTGAATCGACGAAGAATTGCAATAAAGACTCGTTTAATGCGATTTTTGTAAATGAGGAACTGAGTGACGGCGAAATTAAAAAAAAAAAAATCAGATTCGACAGAATTCATACATATATATTCGTTCGTATATTATTCCTTTACCTTTCTCGACCCATCGACTCGTGTAAAATATTAATACTAGTACTAAAATATAAAACAATAATGGATCCCCTCGCTTACTGTATTACTCCCGGCAATACAGATATATCGCTATAGATCAGCTTTCACGTACGACTGAGGCTTTAGGCTATAGGCTAAGGCGTTACGGAATAACATGCTGCATGAAATGTGTGTTCGTTCATGCGGATACGTGAAGATTATTTTAGGCAGTAATGGGCACGTGGAGGAAATGTTGCGTAACGATCTTTACATAGCGCCATTATTATTTCGCCCTGGCAGTAACACCCAAAGACCATGCTTAGAACTATTGTATCAAAGGCGTATCAAATTAATATCTTCTATGCGACGCGTAAATGAAAGATTCGAAATAATATTTCGCAATATGAAACCTCATCGAATGGTATGAAACGCACCTTCCAGGATTTTCCCCTCCATCGACATTTTTCCCATTCCGAAATCACGCAATCCTGTTAAAGCGAACTTTCTTTGCTCCTTCCAATGTGCCCCTTCTGACTCCAGAATTCCTAAAGCAAAACCATAAACGTTACACATTTAGGATATTCACGACATAGGGTCGCTATACAGGAGAAAGTCGTTTAAACATTCTGCTAGATTCACAGACAGTTAAACGCATGTGTAACAAGAGCAATTGGAGATAGCAAACCTCTGCCACAGCGTAACAGTTCCCCCCCCCCATCTTGCTGGTACACCCAATATAGAGTTTGATAAAATTTTCAGAAATTTGAAAAAAGATCCAGGATTTTTTTTAATGAATATTGAATGCGTCCGACGTCTTCCCCACACAAAAAATCAAAAAAAGTCCTGGATCCAGATCTGGATCCGGATCACCACCAAAATCGTTTGGTTGTTGGCCTAAGACCAACCCGTCCAAAAAATTTCATCAAAATCCGTCCGTAACCTTTTGAGATATCCTGTTGACAGACAAACAAACAAACCAACAAACAAACTAACAGGGGCGAAAACATAACCTCCTTGGCGGAGATAATAAACGGTAAATCAACCGTATACCGTGTATGGTTCCCTTCTTATCAGACATCAGGGTCTTGATGATGAATGGATGAGCACGACCGGAAAACATCTCTCCCTGCGTCAGAAACGCTTCCTTGATCAATTCATAGCTGTTCAGAACTACAGCGAAGCGTGGACCGAAGTACATACTGTGGTGATGAAAGCAACAGTGCTCCATTTACTATTGTGTTAATTTCTATAGTGTAATACAGTGTTACTCTCCCGCCTTTCTACTTTAGGTGTGCGTAAAATGTAAGGTAGAGGTAACTACAACATTAACACAATGGTCGATAGCTACTCGCACACTATATGTAGATAGAAAACAGATTTGTTTACGGTTGGGACGCCCTTCAAATGAAAACTGAAAGAATTAGTGGACTTATGAGAGTCGCTCGAGTTCATGAGTCAATTGATTTAGGTTATTGAGACTAATTAGAAAAATAGCTGTAAATCATACGTGACAAAACAAGGCAAGCTATATATCCACGCGTTTCGCAACGTCGGTAACAATCCACCTGACTGTAATAATACACACAACCAGCGCGGGTTGAGACCTATACGCACCTGAATATCGGTCCATATTTCTCCCCGAGTTCCGTGAGGGTGACGAGCGGGTTTGTCCGGCTGAGTTGTAGCAGGCTGCCAACAACGGGCAGTCCGCGCGGACCGGGAGGCGAGCCTGCAGGTTTCCTCGTCAGGTAAGTGATGAGCAGATAGACGGCAATTCCCAGCAGCAGCGCCGTGCACCACTGAGAGAAGCTACCCACGTCCATCTTCGTGCAATCCTCTGTTTAGCTGTGAACGTCGTTCGTGGTCGTGCTGCTGGAAAAATATGAGTATAGGCATAACTCGTCAAGGACACGCGTGGCAAACCTTGGCCGAACTTATTCTTCGCAAAGGTGAGACGTACGTCGATCTATTTCCGTGCCTGGATGGGTGGCGACGATCCGCGGTCGCCGCTAGCTACTACCTCGCTGTTCTGCCGATCAACAAGGGGACTGCTCTGCGATCGAGTTGACCCCGTTACCTACTTCTATATGCCTATCTTCTATATGCAGACGCAAATAGTTCAGACAATACTCTCCTTTTCGGGCCTGTTCAGCGACAGGTTTATATTGGCATTAGTATTGACACTGATATTGGTGTTTGGTATAGATAATAGCCAAGTAGTCTGGAATATGAATTTGCTCTAAATCTCCCAGCGGATTACAGAACTGGTTTCGTGACAGTCAAAAACACACAACGACAGAGTACGCGATACTCGCCATAGTAGTCCATCCCCTTCTACACACACAAAAACACACTCACGTATATACACGTGCACACACGCGCGCGCGCACGTACACGCACGCACGCACACGCGCGCACGCACGCACGCACGCACGCACGCGCGTGAGAGAAAGATTATTTTTTGTAAAACATGTTGTCTTTGTTAAGAAGACAGGAAAGAGGGCTACGGAGGGAGTTATCGCTAATATCTACAGTAGTGAAAACATAATAATTGAACTATTCCTTCAACGTCGAGACAAACAAGACACCGACACCGGCACGCACTGTTAGTGGCCAAGAAATTTTTGCGTGCACAAACTGTTTGTGGTGGGTAAGAATTTTTCGGGTCCACAAATTGTTTGTGGTGGCTAAGAAATTTCTGGCTCCACAAACTCTTTGTGGTGGCTAGGAAATTTTTGGGCTCGCGAACTGTTTGTGGTGGCTAAGAAATTTATGTGTCCACAAACTGTTTGTGGTGGCTAAGATTTTTCGGGTCAGCAAACTATTTGTGGTGGCTAGGAAATGTTTGAACCCTCAAACTGTTTGTGATGGCTAATACTTTTTCGGGTCCACAAACTGTTTGTGGTGTATACGAAATTTTTGCCCCATTGACTGTTTCAGGCTATGTTGAAAGCAACCAATTCTGATCATTTTAAAATGTCAATTTGAAAATTTCAAAGAGGAATGTAGCTAAAGCTGATGTTTTGACTAAAGTATCTAAAATATATATTATGAGTATGATAACTAATAAAACTTTATTTACAAGATTGTATATACTATCATTACATAATTATGAAAAATAAGCCTATTTTCAATCTGCATTTATACTTTCACTATGTATAGGGCCTACATCTGTATGTTTTGAAGTTTGAATTTGAATAGGCACATTGTCATATTAAGTACACATTCCAAATCTTTGAGCACTGATATAACACCTCTAATTGATCAGTATTAATAGTAATACCAGACAGTCCAGTCAGATAACTTGTCATTTTATTTTTTTATTATTCCAATTTTATATTTTCTGCCTGGATCGCAACTTACAAATTCTGAAATTAAATCCTGTTCATCTACCTTGTCTAACATGTCTCGGTGCACATGCATGACCATTGCATTGTTGAGCCTTAACTGGGTCGTGCTGGGTCGGGGGGGGGGGCACTCCATATATTATATTGCATGGTAGGTATGTCTGCCGCGGTAGAGACCCCCATTTTCAACCCTAACCCTAAACTTCCGTTCCAGTGCATCGCATCTTTAAGAATATCTCGTTCCAGAGCATCAAGTTTAGTTACCATGCAGATCTTGCATTTTTGCCGTTCCGGAGACCCTAGTTTTTAATATTTCCGTTCCAGTGCATCGTACTTCAGAATACGTTGAAGCCGAGCCGGTCAAGGCATGCATGCAACGTGTGTGTTGTATGTGTGCGTGCGTGCGTTGTCTCTCTCTCTCTCTCTCTCTCTCTCTTGTTGCGCGTGTGTGTGTGTGTGTGTGTGTGTGTGTGTGTGTGTGTGTGTGT